TAATATCATATTTAGTAGCAAGCAAGCAATGTCCTTTCAATCTTATCTCATCTTTCTTACTACTAATAGATTTGACATTTTTATCGATCTCAGTTTTAGTTTTCTTAGCTTTAGCAACATCATAAGCACAATAGCTTCAGGAGACATAGGAAGCAAAACAATTTTCTTATCATGGTGTATGAGAGAATACATATTTGATCTACCATGATGCATACAATCCATATCAAATTGCCATGGTCTACCTAGCAGAATATGACAAGCTTCCATAGGCACAACATCACACTCAACAACATCATGATATGATCCAATAGCAAAATTAATTCGTACCAGTCTCGTCACCTTAACCTTACCACTATTGTTGAGCCATCAAATGTGATATGGATGTGGGTGCGGTTTGGTTGTAAGTGCAAGCTTCTCTACCATATCGCTGCTAGCCAAGTTGTTGCAGCTACCTCCATCAATTATCAAACGGCACGAATGCTCTTTAATGACACACTTTATTTGGAATAGTGTATGCCACAAATTTTGCTCTGCCTTCTCCATTTGTGCGCTAAGCACACGCTGCACAATGAGGCTCTCATAATGATCTGCATCCTCTACACCAATCTGCTCTTCTGGTTGTTCCTCATTACCTGCGTGGTCAGCAGCAAGCAAAGCAAGTGTATCCTCATCAAAATCACTAGCAAAGGAATACTCACCATCATCTTTGATGATCATAACATGCTTTCTTGAATAGTCATGCATCACATGTCCATATCCCTTGCACCGGTGACACTGAACGTCTCTTGTTCTACCTATAGATGCAACGGATGAAGCACTCGCAACAGGCTTCTGGATCGTCTTCGCCACTGAATTTGTGGGAGTAGCACGAGGCTTGTTGCTGGATGATGGCATAGGAGTATGTGTAGTTAGAGTAGTAATCATGCGGGGCTGCCATGAATTAGTCTTCCCTATAGAAATATTATTCTTGGCACTGGCACGTCGCCCCTACACTTCCCTTTCAGCTTGACAAGCATGATGAAACAAATGGATTACGTTAGTGTATTCTTTATACACAAGGATGTCCTAAATTTCATGATTTAACCCACCCAAAAATCTTGCCATAGCAGGTTCCTCATCCTCATCTAAATTACAATGCAACATACCCATTTGCAATTCTTGATAATATTCTTCTACACTTGTAGCACCCTATCTCAGTTGTTGCAATTTATTTAACAACTCATGTGCATAGTAAGAAGGAACAAATCTGGCCCTCATGATTCGTTTCAAAGCATTCCAAGTTCGTGGTATGTTATTAGGATTTTTCTTGCCATGTTCTATCCACCAAATAGTTGCAAAGTCAGTAAACTCACTATTAGCAGCTCTAACACGTGTATTCTCAGGAAATTCATGACATGCAAACTTTTGGTCAACAGCAATTTCCCAAGAAATGTATGCATCAGGATCATACTTACCATCAAAAGGAGGTATTTTAAATTTAATTTTACTCAAAGCATCATTATTACTGGGTACCTCGCGTCGACAGTGACCACCCATACCTCTACGATTATGGCGTAGGCGACGCCAGTCACGAGTGTCATAAGCATCATGTTCAGTATCAGCAGTATAATCATCATCATAATTATCTTCGAGTTGCTCTTCGTCCTTATTGTCTTCATTTTGTTGCTCTTTGTCTTTCATGTGGAAGTCATCAAAACGCTTTAGAAGCGCAGCAAGGCTTCTGTCCATACGGGCAACAGATGCCTCCAATCCTATAAGCTTGGTGGTGGTGGCAAGTTGAGTGGCCTCCAATTGCCCAATCTTGTCATTGGTCACCTGTAAATCTTGATCAAGTCCTTCTGTATGCAGCTGCACTTGAATTGTAAAATGTTGAATGATGCCCTTGGTGCGAGGCAATTGTGGCATCTTGTTAACATCCTCTGATCCTGACATGGTTTAAAAGACAAGGACAACAAGAAAATAGGTGAAGAAATAAAAGCCCTAAAGCCGTTAGGATGTAGCTATAGCAAGACGCTCACTCTCAACCCGTTACACAAGCTCTTACCAATTCTTACCTTGCTCAACAGGAGGGGACGGCAACCAACAAGTCTACAACCATGGAATGAAGTGTATCGGTGCTGCAACAACAACACCTGTCAAGCTGTAGTCGAAATATGTGGAGCTGTAGGTGGGCTAAAGCAAGGAAGTACTAGCACCACGTTAGTCACAAAAGCAAGCTAAATATTCGTTCAACGGCGGTACTGTGCTAGTCCTAGCCTAGACCATGCTAGAGGTGCGAGCCTGGACACAAAGGAAGTCACAACAAACCACCGGAAATAATGGAGAAGCACAACGAACAACCCCTTTTCTTCCTTTTTTTCTTTCTTTTCTTTTTTCTTTCTTTTCTTTCTTTTCTTTTTTCTTTTTTTCTTTTTTTCACAAGAGTCACACACCACACAAACTTTTTTCGAAAGGACAGGGGTATTTTGGTAAAAAAAATAGATACTCTCTCTCTCTCTGGAGTGAAACAGAGCCAATATGTATGCACAATGTGGAGGAGTCGAGTATAGGTATGGACTTCTACAGTCTTTCTAGAACACTTCAATATATGTAGCACAAGTGCAAACAACAACAAGATTTGGTAACATGGCGCAGCAACCAATTCGGACTCCACAACGATTCCAATTCGGTCTTTAACAAGATTAGGACTCTGGAGTAAGCTGAGCTAATATGGATATGTTGGATGTGGAGAAGGTGAGTATAGATATGAACTACTGCTGCACAAAGATGTACTCAGATTTGGACACAAAACAGCAACAAGATAGCTATCAATTCAGACTCAAAACCGAATCCAACTCGAACTTCAACACCACGTGGGATTCGGTCTCAAAACAAACTCAAATTCCTACTCAGACTTGAACACAAGGATGTATTTGGATTCAGCCAACAAAAGGTTTATATGGTAGCACACGGCTGTGACTAGAACGTGACAAGAACTCAAAACTCTAAAGGACTAAAACTAAGACCAACAACTCGACACAACTGATGCAAACCGAAAACTCAACAAGCCCTAACTAAGCAGTGCAAGCAAAGGCTCAAAGGGTTTATAGGATTGCGGGTAAACTAACCTACTATTTTTTTGGCTTTTTTGGACTATAGGAAAAATTCAAAACAGTGAGGAATTCAAAGTCTCTCACCGATAAACCTGGCTCTAATTACGAACTGGTATGAACCTGCTACGGTTGAATCCCGAACTTTCGATGAGAGGGCATGGGATAACTCGATTGATGGATGGAGACAACGTTCACGACCCGACTACTGCCTTCTAAGCTGCGCCTTAGCAACCGATACACCACCTCCAATGCCTGTCGTGATCTTGTGAAGCACGTCACCTAGCCACTAGGGCACTCGTCCTGCAAGCAATCGAAGAACTAGCAAGAACAAGTATAACAAGTACTGAATTTACTAGATGAAGATGAAGGTTTTCAAACTCAATCTCAAATAAGGTGGGGTTTTGGAGACAAGAAGACGGGCGGCTGATTCAGCACGTGTGCTTACAAGCAAGTAGCGAGAGCTAAACTTGATCTAAACAAAAACCCCCCTATTTTTGGGGGCAGCTAAGGGGTATATGAAGGTTGAGGGACAACCACCAGGGTGTTGGGGTCATGCTCCAACCCTAGGATGCGTCCCTAATGGACCCCAACTTGATACACAGCCCATTGGACCAAACTAAGGCAACGCAACACCTTTGGACAGAAAACCTCTCGGTAGTAATTTGGTCATTGTGGTCGCCTCAGAATAGATATCCACTTGATTCTAGATCCATGTGAAAATAGACTTCATAAGGATTCCATGAAGTACTTGAACACCCAAATCCAAGTCTGTATGCGACCATGGTGACCATCACAAGTTGGAGCTATCCTAGAGTCCGAATCCAGCCTGCGCGAATCCTTTTCCCTATCGGTCCTCTCCCTAGTTCCTAACCAAAACAAGAGTGCACATGTCTCCATGGTCTAAATATGATGGACAAGAACTCAAGAGTGAACTTACTTGATGATTAAGTTGACGAGCATGGGTGCGAGTAATAGGACCAAAAACTGGTACTTTTGTCGGTGTGGATGTATCGTTGGTGTTGATGTCCTCATCAACCACCTCCTCGCTCCCTGGTACCTTAACCTAAGTCAACAGCTCTAGGTTAGGCCTATTCAGGATCCAGTACTCGTTCAACTAGACGACCACCACCGGCACCGCTGGCTCCGCCAGGTCCTCAGGTTCCTCCTTTGGTTGGGCCAAGGGCAGGGGCTCCACTGCGGTAGCCTTGTCCCGGTGAGCGGTGGCATCATGGCCGGTGGGTTTAGAGCTTGAGGCCATGGCGGCAGTGAAAGAGGGGATTTAGGGGCGAAGGAAAGGGCAGAAAGGCAAAGGGCAGAGATTGGAAATGCTAAGTGGGAGAATAGGCACAGTGGTTGCCACCAAAGCGAGGTGAGGGGTTAAATGGCCGCTTGCCGCGCACAATCCCTGAAAAATCGCTCGACAGCCATAACGTGCGCCGAGACTACTACCCAATAGTTATTCACAAGGAAAACTATCGCTTTTTTATTCCCTGGATAAAATCGATGATTTAGTGCCTAGTGAATAATCAATAATCAAGATAACACCCGAGTTGTGAGTAAGACTCCAACCAACTATGGCTTAGGTCCCGATTAAGTTATAGCTCAGGGTCTGGGAGTAAACTCACTAATCAGGTTAATACAGCTAAATGATCCTGACTTTGGAACTATATCCACATGCAAAGTACGACTGTGACTCTGCTCATGGTAACTCGGACACGGGACAGATTGAAAAATCTGGATAAAAGCAAAATAATCACCCATATTGGGAACTAGTCATTTCATTGATAATTAACAAAGATGGATTTACAAATGGATAAGCAAGAATCCTAATCTAAGGAGAATGGGGTAGGCGCCACCTCTGATTGTCACCAACCTCCTTAGAGGGCTTGCTGACGAGATGGGAGCAGCCTAGTTCCTCAATGATGACCTGCTGCCTACAGGCTCGTCCTTCACCTCCTCCTCCTCCTCCTCCTCCTCCTCCTCCTCCTCGTCGTTGGTTTCCTCCTCCTCGGTGGCCTCTTCCTCATTGTCACTACTGAGGATCACAAGGATACCATCCCCTGGGATGCCAATGGCCTCGCGATTTAGCTCGACGAAGAGCTTCCTTGCAATCTCCTCATCATGGCTCATGTCTGGCCAGCCGATGGCGCAAGGAGTAGAGGGCCTAGGGATGTCAGGGACGGCGGAGGTGACGGAGGTGGCAAGGGCAGTGGAGATGACAGGGAAGCGGGAGTGTCGACGAAATATGGTCGGCATTCCATCTAGGGGTATGCCCATGATGGTAGATTGTCGGTAGACGGTGCGTGTAATCAGGAACCAGATGGTTACAGAAGGCACAAGACACAAGATTTATACAGGTTCGGCCACCGTGTTGGCGTAATACCTACATCCTGTGTCTCATTATTCTGTATTGATTGAGGTGCCCATGAGGGGGGCCCCTGCCTCTCCTTGTATACTCAGGAGGAGGAGGGTTACAAGTAAAGTATCATATTTGGTACTATTAGAATATCTAGTACAACTTGTAATCTTGCCGTGCATGCCTCAATCTTACAGGCTGGGCCACCTCGGATGGTGCGGCCCATGTACCATCTTGTGGTACCTGGGGGTATATCCCCCACAGCTAGTCCCCAAGCGCCATGTATTCTGATGCAACACGCCATTTTAACCTTCTCCGAACAGTGAGGCTTGAGTTCTTGACACCTCCGACCACCGTTGTCGCCGGAGAAGTAGGTTGTCCGAAGAATGTATGGTGCTCTTAAGAAGAAAGAAAAAGATTTCCGTCCTGGGAAGTGTGACCACTTGGGTTTCTGTGAAGAAACGTAAGGGTGTCTTGAAGCATAGCGTCTTTGATCATCAGAGGCGTAAGGGTCGAAAAACAAGCACATTCACCGCAAGGTGAAGTATGCCCACTTAGTCCCCGAGCCTGGTAGTAGGTGACGTAGGCATGTGGTGCCAGGGTCTAAAAAAGTCTTGTTAATTAGATACAGCATGCACCATCAGGTACATCATACCGATGTAGTCCCCGAGCTTGCTGGAAGGAGAGGTATGAGCCTTGTAGCAAGGTCTAAAGGAGAAAAAATATCCCAACTGTATGCGAGTCGCCAGTCGCATGTAGTCGAGACGTGAAGTCCTCGAGTTGTGATCGGAGAGTGGTCGAGGCAGTCCTCGAGCACAAGTCAAGGAGCGAGCGATGAAGTCCCCAAGCTAGGCAGTCCCCGAGCACAGGTCGAGGAGTGAGCGACAAAGTCCCCAAGCTGTGGTCAGAGAGTGGTCGAGGCAGTCCCCGAGCACACATCAAGGAGCGAGCGACGAAGTCCCCAAGCTATGGTCAGAGAGTGGTCGAGGCAGTCCCCGAGCACACGTCAAGGAGCGAGCGACGAAGTCCCCAAGCTGTGGTCAAAGAGTGGTCGAGGCAGTCCCCGAGCACAAGTCAAGGAGCGAGCGACAAAGTCCCCGAGCTGTAGTCAGAGAGTGATCGAGGCAGTCCCCAAGCACAAGTCAAGGAGCGAGCGACGAAGTCCATGAGCTGTAGTCAGAGAGTGATCGAGGCAGTCCCCGAGCACAAGTCGAGGAGCGAGCGACGAAGTCCCCATGCGTAGCTCAAAATTCCTGCAATATAAATATGTAGAATGGTAGTACATGATGTACAAAGTAATAAATTATGGAGAAAAAATCAGCGGTGAAGAAATAGCGTATGACACTCAGCAGTAATTTGCAAATGAGCATGATGTGATAAAGCAGTTGGTGCTTTGTAAACATCAGTGTTAATGTGAAGTTTATGTTTATACTTAATATAAACCGCCCGACCAGTTAGTGTGTAGCTGAGTCTCCAGCCCTAGCTAGCCCATAGTCCATAACGTCGAGCGCAGAGCCCGTGCACGTGTAGGAGAAACATGCGTCGCTAAGGAGCCGCTGCCGACCACCCATAATGCAGAGGGCAGATGCTCGTGCACGTGTAGGGAGGAGCCGGAGACAGGGCCGTCTCTAGAGGCGTCCGAGCATCAACATGACTGTTCAGGGGTTCGGAAAATCGGGCAAACATGGAGAAAACAGCTCGGAGAAACGTTATGACGATATACGAAGATTGGAGAATATTGAGAAAAATATTAAAGTGTGACTTAGCTTTAGACAGAATGTCTAGTCGGCGGTGTATGACGTTATCTGGTTGGTGTTGACGGCGAGCACCTAGCGGGCGGTGAGTTGTTGGTGAAGGCGACCTCGGAGGTGGTTCCAAGATCAGATCTGTTGTTGCAGGTATTGATGTGGTCGGCGCGGAATCGTGATGTAGGCTGATGAAGTCCACCACATGGGGAGAGATACACGTAGATGTTTGCATGCTTGATAGATGCATCCATGCATGTATACATGTATATAAGCCTTAATGTTTAATTAGCTTGCATGATCCTGTAGTTCCAATAATTCACCGTGAGCTTCACGGTAAGCCATAAGGCAACACGTGATGATGACGCCTTTCTGGTTTGCCTTGCATATGATTGAACCAAGTGGATATGGGAAACTTGGTGCATGACCGCGTCATGTCCAATCGAAGTCCGTGGATGTGGCCTCCACGCTGAACCACAGAAGTCAACTGTGGATTGTCAAGGAGTCGACGACGAAGGCTACCATGGATAGCGATGAGCCGGCGACGCTTGTCGACGGTGCGGGATGACAACGTCGAAAGACGTAGCTGAATTCCTGCCAGCAGCATTCACGCAGACATATGTAGAGATATACCCAGAGATGTACATGTATCGTAGGATATGTTAATTGAAAGTAAAAAATCACTTAGCTTTTCATGTATAACATCTAGGTACTCGGATCGATGCAAGCCCTCGGCCATGATACGAAAGGATTGGATCAACTAGATGCAACTTCCTATGCGGATATGTTTCGACCTTGCTGTCCCAGTTAAGATCTGTCGGCCATCCAGCACACACAGAAAGTATGGGCCGCCGTCGCATGCTCAAAGCGCTGTTGCGAGTTGCGTTTGGCACCGGGGCTTGATCGTCATAGTCCGCCGAAGAACGTCGCCGGGTTGCAGCTAACGTTGTTGGTGAAGAAAATTCCATCTAGTTCACCATGGATCAGCACACACACCCCTACCTGGCGCGCCACTATCGACGAAATATGGTCAGCAGTCCATCTAGGGGTATACCCATGATGGTAGATTGTCGGTAGACGGTGCGTATAATCAGGAACCAGATGGTTACAGAAGGCACAAGACACAAGATTTATACAGGTTCGGCCGCCGTGTTGGCGTAATACCTACGTCCTGTGTCTCATTATTCTGTATTGATTGAGGTGCCCCCTGAGGGGGACCCCTGCCTCTCCTTGTATACTCAGGAGGAGGAGGGTTACAAGTAAAGTATCCTATTTGGTACTATTACAATATCTAGTACAACTTGTAATCTTGCCGTGCACGCCTCGATCTTACGGGCCGAGCCACCTCAGATGGTGCGGCCCATGTACCATCTTGTGGTACCCGGGGGTATATCCCCCATAGGGACTAGCGCCCACCGGTGGGGTATGAGCCTTTTGGCTCATCCTCGTCGGAGAGCATGACCACCATCTCCGGTGCTAACGACACCAGCTGGGTCGAGAGCACGGCTGAAGATCCTGGTGCAGCGACTTCATCGACCCTAGTTTCCCTTTATAGGACCGCTAGGGCTGGATCCACCGGCATCACCGCCGACGGCAATGCCACTGCTAGGGCTGGGGCGCCAAAGTACATTGGGGACAGAGACGTGGGCACATATGACGGAGGTGACGGCATACTACTCGATGACGCCGTCGTGGCCAATTGGCCGACCGACTGCGCGAGTAGCAGATGCAGCACTTTGTAGGGACATTTACGGCTGGCAGTTTTCTTCGTCATCTTTGCTATGAAATTTGAGAATGGAGGTTGCAGATTCATCACGAGCAGGCCTGATTAAATAGGACCAAGCTTCCTTCCTAGGAATCTCAACTGCCATCTCAATTATAAAAGGAATTAAATCTCCACCACGTGCACTCATGCGGAACCGAACCGTCACAGCACTTCGACTAACAGATGACTGTGCGCCCCCTGGCTTGCTTGTGAAATGGGATTGATAAGACAATGTGACCCGGGGATGGAAATCGATCAAGCTCATCTCCCAACAGCGCACCTTTTTTGGCTTGCATGGGATCGGGATCAAAGTCACTGTTGGTAACCCAAACTACCTCTTGGTACCCGAACAACAAACCACCCGACTAGGATAATCCCGTTTACTCACAGACGACCAAGTTGCGTTTGACAGACAAGCTTGGGGGCTTATGTCGATGCCATACCCCTTGGTACCCCGACTTCCATATTACCAACTACCTACTCTGAATCAGAGACTCCGACTAGGGCACGACTTCTTAGCTTGTAGGGCAAGTTGATCCCGGATATAAATAGCTAGCAATATCCTCTGTTGTAATCATTGACTCTTTCATAGGCCTAGCCACATTGTAATCACCATCTCATCGAATACATGCAATACAAACAAGTAGCAACTGGACATACGGCTTTTACTTGCTTCCTTGGGGCCCAAACCAGTAATAATCTTGTCTCCATCTATGATTGTTCTTTGCGCCAAGCGGGGTTCCCCAAGAACCAAATATCTATCAGTAAAAAACACCAACAGGTTGCATGGTAGAATTGCTTGAAAGCCATTGCCTTGACACAACCTTTACCCCTACACACCCGCTGTTAGGATAGACACTCGCTTACTACTTGCTACTTGCTCTCTACTATGCATTATATCTGTGATGTGATGCCTGGTGTAGGTTTGTTTGTGAGTAGCTAAGGCACTCTTTGCCAATAATATGGTAATAACAACTGGGGAAATCTTGGCATGCGTCTTGGATGTGTGGTGAGGGTCGAGTCAACTAGACAGGATTCTACGACAAGCCTTGGTGCGAGTCTTGCCGGAGTGTGACCTGAGCGCTCATTGAAAGGTCTACCTATGGCAGGTACTGGTTAGTGGTAGAGATTCCAGGGAGGAGTGTCTTCATGGGATGAATCCCTAGAATAGAGGTGTTGTTGAAGCACAGGGTGTTGGATCCCCTATGTGAAGATGTCCTGTCTGGTCACCCTAAGGACTTATATGTTCTAGGAACTGGTTCAT